GGTCTGATCAGTCAGCTTGCAGGGCTGGGGCTGTGGCTCAGCATGTTCAAGCCACAGCCTGCAGTGCCAGCATCTCATATGGGTGCTGGTTTAGCCCCAGCTGCTCCACTTCTGATCCAGCTCCCTGCTAATGTACCTGGGAGCGCAGCAGAGTATGGCCCAAGTACGTGGGCCCCTGCACCCACGTAAGACCTGGAAGAAGCTCCTGGCTCCTGACTTCAGCTTAGCCCAGTCCTGGCTGTTGGTAGCCATTTGGGGAATGAACCAACTGATAGAAGATCCCTCTGTCTGTCTCTCCTTCTCTTTCTCTGTAACTATGCCTTTCAAAATAAATCTTTAAAAAAAAAAAAAAAAAACAGCCAGCTTGCCTGCAACCCTTCTTGCTCAGAACCACCAGGAATGCTGTCTTAGTGATCTTTCTGGATGGGTTCTTCTGCTTTGCAGAACATTTCCAGCTCAGAGCTGTGCCTGTGGTGTGCTTCTGTCTGTTGCCTTTGTTCATTTTGATGTTTGGAGGGTTCCCAAGCCCCTTCCTGTCACGCTTGGGCCCTTGTACAGTGCTGTGATTGTTTTGTAGCTTGCTGGCACTTAGGGCCCTGAATCAGCTCGTCCTCCGAGGGAGAGCGTTCCAAGCAGGCAGCGTGGGTCCTTTTAGTACACAGAATGAAGAACATGGTTTTGAAACACACACACACCAAAAACATAATTTTCCCTTTCCAGTTCAAATTGAACTTTACAACATTTTTCAGTTTTTATTTTATTGTTTGGTTCTGTATTAACTTGAGAGGCAGAGAGACAGGGCTCCCACCCATTGGTTCCCTCACCAGTACCCATAACATTTGGAGCTAGGCCAGGAGCCAGTAATGCAATCCCACTGCTTCTGCCTCCCAGGGTCTGCACTGGCAGGAGCAGAGCTGGAACTCAAAGCTGGGCACCGGGATCTAGGACATGGGCCTCTTAGCAGTGTCTCACTCACTAGGTCAGTTGTCCACCCCTTCCAGTGTTTCTTTTGGCAGATTTTCGTGTGTATTCAGATTCTCCAGGTGTTGTACAAAAAGCGGGGTGTGGTGCAGTGTGTGGTTGGGGGTTGTTTTATAAGGAGTGTTCACATTTCCCTCCTGCTACTTCGCTTCCAGGAGCTCAACCCCACGGCGTGTCAGTGGGCCCTGGTGTATCTAACATACATCAAGCAAGTGTTCAAACTCCAAGAAGCTTTCTTACACATTTCTGTTATCTTATCTGTGAACCCGCCTCAGCTGCAACCTAGACTTCTTCTTTTTAAGAATTTATGGATTTTTTTTAAAGATTTATTTATTTATTTGAAAGTCAGGGTTACATAAAGAGAGAAGGAAAGGCAGAAAGAGAGAGGTCTTCCATCCACTGGTTCACTCCCCAACTGGCCGCAATGGCCGGAGCTGCGCTGATCCGAAGCCAGGAGCCAGGAGCTCCTTCCAGGTCTCCTACGTGGGTGCAGGGTCCCAAGGGCTTTGGCCGTCTTCTCCTGCTTTCCCAGGCCACAGTAGAGAGCTGGATCGGAAGTGGAGCAGCCGGGACTCTAATTGGCACCTATGTGGGATGCCAGCACTGCAGGCTGAGGCTTTATCCTGCTACAACACAGCGCCGGCCCCAAGCCTGGTCTCTTAAAGCTCTGATGGGAGGAGGGGGAATGCCAAGTGACCTGAGGGAGCTTGCTGCTCCTCGGCCTTTCTTGTGCATCAGTCCTGGGACCGTTGGTGTACTCTGGGGTAGGAGGGAGCGCCTCTGTCTGGACAGGGGCTGGGCATTCTCACACCTGGGAGGCCCCTTTAGGTCACCAGTGTCCACAGATAGAAGGTGACGAGCAGGACAGTGACAGGCAGCCCCGCCCTGGAGGTCAGAGACACAGCATGGAGACCAGGATTTTGTCCTGTGTAAGGAGCTGTGATGTCTGACCTGCAGACCTGTTCCTGGACAAAGTGACTTGGGACGAATATAGGAAATGTGTTCATCCCACAGGAGAGCCCCTTGGCTAGCAGGGCCAGCTGTGTTCTGTTCCTTTCTTTTTTATTTATTTATTTTTTTTATTTTTATTTTTTGACAGGCAGAGTGGACAGTGAGAGAGAGAGAGAGAGAGACAGAGAGAAAGGTCTTCCTTTTGCCGTTGGTTCACCCTCCAATGGCCGATGCCGCCAGCGTGCTGCAGCCGGCGCACCGCGCTGATCTGATGGCAGGAGCCAGGTACTTCTCCTGGTCTCCCATGGGGTGCAGGGCCCCCATCCTCCACTGCACTCCCGGCCACAGCAGAGAGCTGGCCTGGAAGAGGGGCAAACTGGATAGAATCCGGCACCCCGACCGGGACTAGAACCCGGTGTGCCGGCGCCACAAGGCAGAGGATTAGCCTAGTGAGCCGCGGCACCAGCCTTCTGTTCCTTTCTTACATCTGATGTCCGATCCCTCTCTCCTTGTCAGGTTTCCTCACACTGCTTTCCAGGCCCTGCCCTGGGCCAGGAGTGGCATCAGGCACTGCAGTGTGATGACGTCTGCACTGCTGGCTGCAGGCGCTGGGCCGCTGGTGGGTCTCCCTCAGTCCTGCTCCTGTGCACAGGGTTCTGGGAACATGTTCCTGAGCCTCTGTCAGCATGACTGTGTCTAAGTAGACGCACGCTGTCACTTTTGAACCCAGTTTCCTCTTGTTTTGCCTTTTATGGCAGTGGAGAAAATTCACCAGTTCGTTTTAAGGTATCGCAGACTTACATGATGGCCTAAGGAAACATTAGCCATGGGCCTGACTGGTTCCCAGGCCCCCCACCCACATACCCACCCTGCCTTGTACTTGGCCACCTCGTTTCTCATCTCTAACCTCCTTTGGTCCCACACCTCCCTTCCCCATTCACCACACTGCCATCCTTCAAGGCCAGGCATGTTGAGTTTTTTCTTTTAAAAGTTTGTCAGGGCCAGCACTATGGTGTATCAGGCTAAGCCTCCATCCTATATGGGTGCCAGCTCAAGTCCTGGCTGCTCCTCTTCCAGTCTAGCTTTTTGCTTATGGCTTATGGCCTGGTAAAGCAGTGGAAGACGGTCCAAGTGCTTGGGCCCCTGCACCTGCGTTGGAAATGTGGAAGAACCTCCTGGCTCCTGGCTTCCTAGTGGCTCATTTGGGGAGAGAACCAGAAGACCTCTGTCTCTCCCTCTGTCTGTGGCTCTATGTCTCAAATAAATTTTTAAAAAAATCCTTTTTTTTTTAAGTTTTGAATTTTTTATTTATTTGAAGTGCAGAGACAGAGAAGGAGCTTCCATCGACTGGTTCTCTTCCCCAGATTTCTTCAGTAGCTGGGGCCAGAACCAGGCCAAAGTCAGCAGCCTGAAACTCAGTCCAGGTCTCCCATGTCAGTGGCAGGGACCTAGCTACTTGAGCCGTTACCAGAGCCTCCCAGGGTCTGCATTAGCAGGAAGCTGGATCAGAAGCAGCTGGGATTTGAACCTAAGCACTTCAATACCGGAGGTGGATGTGCCAGGCAGGGTCTTAACTGCTGCGCTACATGCCTGCCCCATGCTGTCTTTCTGACCAGGGATCGATTGTGGCAGTTTGAAGTTGGGATGTTGACATGCCCTCCCCGGTGTGCCTTTGTCCAGCAGTGCCTCTCTGTCTCTCCCTCTGTCCCTGCCCCTTGGCAGGTGGCTCCTCCCGGCTTCTTCACTCCCTTGGGCCTCTCTTCTCTTCCTGTTATCCTGCTCTAATTATCCTGGCTGAACAGAGATGGCAGGATGGGGCCCGGCACTGTGACATAGTGGGTAAAGCTGCCACCTGTAGTTCGAGTCCTGGCTGCTCACTTCTGATCCAGCTCTCTGCTGTGGCCTGGGAAAGCAGTACAAGATGGCCCAAGTCCTTGGGGCCCTGCACCCACGTGGGAGACCCGGAAGAGGCTCCTGGCTCCTTGCTTTAGATCTGTGCAGCTCTGGCTGTTGTGGCAATCTGGGGAGGGAACCAGAAGATGGAAGACCTTTCTATCTCCCTCTGCCTCTGTCTCTGCCTCTCTGTAACTCTGCCTTTCAAATAAATAAATAAATCTTAAAAAAAAAAAAAAAAAAAAGGAAGGAGGGAAAGGGAGGGAAGGGAGGGGAAGGGAGAGAGGGAGGGAGGAAGGGAGGAAGGAAGAAAGAAAGAAATGGCAGGGTGGAGTTTGGAGACAGACCAAGGGATAATAAAGATACAGGAAGTGTCGTTGTGTCCTCATATGTATCAGGCGCCACTTCCTCTGTCTTTCCCTTTCCCTGCCGCCTTCTCCGTCTGCTGTCTAGTGGCCTCTCAGTACCACCGTGGCGTCAGAGGGCGGCTGTGGGAACGGGGCAGAGAGCCAGAGCTTTGCCCTCCCCGGGCTGCCTTGCCGTTAGGGGAGCAGTGCCGCTGTGAAACCAGATTGTCACTTGGGCGTCCCTTCTCTGGCCAGAGGACAGACTCAGCAGTGATTTCACCAGGACACCCAGCAGTGAACGTCCTTGGGTGGACAGAGGACAGTCGATCTTGGGCAGCCTGGACAGAGGACCCTGGGCAGGGAGTGGCCTTCCCGGCCACCGTTGTATAGGGCTTTGCTGCCCCACTTGCTGCAGTTAACTCAAACAAACACAGATGCCCAGGAAGCACAGCCAGGGACGCCCCATGGAGATTTGCATGTAGAGAGAGTGTCAGCAGGGAGAAGGCAGCAGCCGGCTGAGGACAGACAGTGCCCAGGTGCCAGCTGCACCTGCTTCCTCCAGGCACATGACTCCTGCTGAAGCCGGAAGGGTCTCTGTCCCCTTCTTGTTTCTTTGTTTCCATTCGCCTCTTCCTGGCGGGAAGAGCCCAGCCTGAGAGTGCTCCTCTGAGCCAGTGTGGGTCAGTGACCGTCCAAGTGAGCCTCAGAGTCCAGAGCCTTCTGGGAAGAACCTCAGCCCAGTGGCCGCGGGGCATGGAGGGCAGGACGGGAGTCACCCAGCAGTCTACCTCTACCTGGGATTAAACTACTACCTGTTTTCACTTCTAGGATGAATACCTTTCTCTCGTGGCCAGGCTCATCATCCACTTCCGAGACATTCGTAAGTAAGATTTCACGTTTCTGGTGGTTGTGGTCTCTGTGAGAGGCCGGCTCTGGCTCTGCTTCAGCAGGGGCATTGGGGTGGACCCCAGTGCCGGAGAGGGGGCCTCTGTGAACTTACCGGCCTTGGGCATTGGGTTGGACCCCAGTGTCTGTGTGAACTTACCGGCCTGGTGCTGCCTTTGATGCTGGGCTCCCGGTCTTCCCAGTTCTCCCAGAGCCTCAGCCTCTGGTTCCGACATAATCTAAACTGGACTTGGGCTTTTGCTTATCTGCTCCATCCCCTTCTTACGGCACTGCTGCTTTGACCTCTGGGTAGTTCTTAAAAATGCAGCATACCCTGCCACGGAAGCTTCCTTACCTAAAAGATGGTTTATTTGCCCCGGAGGCCTGAAGTTGGCTTGCTAAGCCCCTGCCGCAGCTCCCTGCTGGGCTGAGGGTCTCTTGCCTTGCACTCTGCCTCCTTTGACTCAGAGGCCTGCCGTGGTTCTGTAGCAAGGCCAGGCAAAGGCCCTGTCCTTTGGAAGTGAGTTGTTCACGCATCCTGGGGCCAGGGTTCTAGGCACTTTTGTGTGTTCTGAGGAGGCACGTAGACACTTTCGAGGAGTGTTCCTTGGGAAGAAAACCGGAGCCAGTGGCTCCTGCCCTCACAGGCCTGGTTGCAGAGCGCATGCTGACAGAACGTGGGTCGCAGAGGGAGCTGCAGCTTCCACATCAGTCAGGGAGGGCAAAGGGAGACCTTGAGAGCCCCAGCAGGTTCCAGGTCTTCCCACGCTCACACTTTTTTGTTTTTAAGATTTTATTTATTTTGTTGAAAGGCAGAGTTAGAGAGAGACAAAGGCAGAGAGAGAGAGAGAGAGAGAGAGAGAGGTCTTCCATCCTCTGGTTCACTCCCCAAATGACCACTATGGCCAGAGCTGAGCGAATCTGAAGCCAGGAGCCAGGAGCTTTTACTGGGTCTCCCATGTAGGTGCAGGGGCCCAAGGACTTGGGCCATCTTGTACTGCTTTCCCAGGCCATAACATAGAGTCGGATCAGAAGTGGAGCAGCCGAGACTCGAACCGGCGCTCATATGGGATGCCGGCACTGCAGGCGGAGGCTTTACCACAGCGCCGGCTCTGCCCATCCACCTTTGCCCAGCATGGCCAGCAAGGCACACAGGATCTCCCTGTCTTTGTGGTGTTGAGGAGGCCCTAGGAAGTGAAGGAGAGGAGATGGAGCCACAAGACGAAGGAGCAGCCTGGTTGCCCAGCCTGGCGTCCTGGGGACAGCTCCCTGCACTCTGCTTGTCAAGGCTTGTGCGGTCCTGGGGGGCTCCAGCTACACTGCCTCCCAGAGCAGGCTGAAATGGACGCATCGCCGTGTTCCCAGCACCGTTCCAGCCACGGTGTGTTGTTCCCTTGTTTGTGCTTCCAGGCTTGGGTTGTGACCTTGGACCTGGAAGGAAGGAAGGAAAGGCAGAGAAGGCAGAGTCCCCTGACCCCACTGTGCCTCAGCCTTGGGGGCAGTTCCTTGAGGCCCCAAGCGTCAGTGCTGCCAGAGGTGGACACTCCCCACCCCACCCCCAACACCCCTCTGGCCCCCGGTTGTCAGGAGCGCTAGGAGCTCCTTGGGGTTAATGTTGGGAGCGCTGAGGTCTGTCTGGCCTCCTCTCTAGGCAGGGTCAATTCAGTTTCAGCAAACGACCTCTGGTCAGAGGCCTGCAAAACTGACTTCACCATGGAGATGTGTGTTTGTATAAGACTGTGTTTACTTTGGTTTTTCTGTTTCTGCTTTTCTGTAGATAACAAGAAATCTCAAGCTTCTGTCAGTGGTAAGAATTTTCCCTTTTAATAAAATCTTTCCCGGCCTTGTGTGGAGCAGCACAACCAAAAGTGGGTCGACTCTGTGTGCTGAGGTTGACTTTCGAGAGAAGAGTGGGGACGTGAAGATGGCCGCGGGCAGAGGCTGGCCCGCCATGGCCCACCCCACCCCTGTGAAGTCAGCCACTGCCCTGTTCCCTTTCATGCAAATGCTAGTTTTGCCCAGCAAAATGATTATAAAACTCACAAAGCTATTAAGACATTGTCTAAAGATTCTGATCTCTCTATTCAGTATAATGTCTGTAGTAGCATTCTTAGAGGACAGCTGAGAATCCACTTTGTGAAATTACAGATCTTTGTAAGTTTATAATTTCAAGGTTTTCTCATATCAAGGAGTCCTTGTCAGTTTCAGTTCAGCCCTGGCCTCTGTTCACTGAGCCACCAGTGAAGGGGTTAGCAGGTCTGGGCTGCCAGCCAGATGCCAGCCTGCCAGGAAGGAACTGAGACCTGTCACAGGCTGCTCAGCACGGTCCTCCCGTAGGCGGCAGAGCTGTAAATGGCATTGTCCACACTTGTCTCCACCATGCCCGTTGCCCTGTTGAATGGCTCCACCTCGGCCAAAACAGCGATAGTCCTGCCGTCCATGTCTGGGTGGGTTCCGAATACGTGGCCAGAAGAATGTCTGGGGTCCAAGGCATTGGAGTGTGGAGTACTGACTGGTAACCGCTCAGTTTGGGGCACGGTGACCCTGCTGGCTATGCCTGTCTGCAGGTAGCCATTTGCAGTGAGAGTCCACACTGTCATGATGGATGGCAGCTGGCATAGCACCGGTCCCTGAGCTGAATCTGCAGACCAGGGGCTTTGGCAAACATGGCCGTCCCGGCCCCTCTGCGTGTCCTGGGGTGCTGATCCTGGCCACGGGGCCAATGCGTGATTAGTATGCTGCAGAGACTGGGCAGCAGCCACAGGCCTCGGTGTGTCCCTGCAGTCTGCCTTGCTTCTAGAAGGGCTGTCACACTTTGTTGTCTCTGGAAGTCCTAGTGATGTGCTCACCAGCAGGGGCCCTGCACAGCCAGGAGGAGCAGAGCCTCCACCTTGCACTGGACATTTCAGCCCATCTTCAGTTGAGCTGCAGGCATCAGAGGGGCTGCTGGTCCCTTAAAACCAGGGCCCCTGCACAGGCCAGGGTAGGGGCTTTGGGTGTCTGCCCTGCCCTTGCAGGCTCCCGGTCTAGAAACAGTGACTGACATACTCAGTGTTCTGGCCGCTGGCATTATGGAAGCTCCAGGACTGTGGTATCGCACTGTTTGGGACTTGGGAGGGTCGAGCCTGTAAGTGGGAGGAGGTCTGTGGTCTGTGAACCTCACACCTGGGAGTGTGCCCTGTTCCGTGGGTGCTCTCCTGGGACACCACTCCCTGTGTTCCCACAGATCCTATGAATGCGCTCCAGAGCCTGACTGGCGGACCTGCCGCGGGAGCAGCTGGAATTGGCATGCCTCCTCGGGGCCCAGGACAGTCCCTGGGCGGCATGGGCGGCCTTGGCACCATGGGACAACCGATGCCCCTCTCAGGGCAGCCACCCCCTGGGACCTCAGGGATGGCCCCTCATGGCATGGCTGTGGTGTCTACAGCAGCCCCACAGAGTGAGTACGATGCTTCCGGAGCATTCGCGGCTGCTTCACACACAGCAGTGCGTTTCATTGCTCTGCTTACAGGGGTATGGAGGAGAGCACGGGGACGCTCCTGAGAGTTCTGTCCTTTTGTCTTGTGTGCAGAGCAAGGGCTCCGCGCCTGCTTCCAGCAGCCAGAGGGACTAACCGATGATACCCACAGCCTCCTTCTGGCCCTGGGAGACAGGAGGACTCAGGAGGTTGGGGACAGCCTGGGCTCCACCCAGGGGCTCGCACTCTGTTGCTGAAATGGAAACGGGATGTTTCCAGGGGTGCTCAGCCACAAAGCAGTGCTGTGTCAGCACCCGCAGCCCCGTGGGCTGCCCCAGGTCTTGGGAGCCGCCTTTTGTGGTGTTGCTGCTTGGTCAGCCCTGGGCCTCAGGATGTCCCTCCCTTGACGGAGGTGCTTTGTCCTCTTGGCTCTTTTCTGTGGGATGTAGCCCCTCATCCTCTGCAGCTGCCCTCCTCAGGTGTCCCAGGTGCTCTCACAGGGAAGCCCAGAGCAGCCTCCCTCTGTCCAGAGCCCTTCTTGATGCTCCTTTGATCCCCATGGACACGGACTCAGTGCTTGAATATGCCAGGCCCGCTGCAGAGGGTGTCAGCACTTCCTCCTTTGTGTAACTGTTCACTTTTCAAGTAGCTTCTGGGTCACAGGAAGTCGTAGAATGGCACAGAGCTACCCCATGCCCTGTGCTCGGCTGCGCCCAGTGGTACTGTCTCAGTGCATTGTCGCAAACAAGAAGTCAGCGTCGGCAGGGCCCCCACCTCCCACCTCCCACCTCAGGTGGAGCTTTGATTCAGACTTCATCTGCATTTTTTTCACACAGTATTGGCCCTCTACATTACAGGGATACATAGATCTTTCTTTCTTTGCTTCCTTCCTTCCTTCTTTCTTCAAGACTTATTTTATTTATTTGAAAGAGTTAGAGAGGTAGAGACAGAGAGAGGTCTTCTATCCGCTGGTTCACTCCCCAGATGGCCAAAACAGCTGGAGCTATGCCGATCTGAAGCCAGGAGCCAAGAGCTTCTCCCAGGTCTCCCACATGGGTGCAGGAACCCAAGGACCTGGGCCATCTTCCACTGCTTTCCCAGGCCATAGCAGAGAGCTAGATTGGAAGAAGGGCAGCTGGGACTCAAACTGGTGCCCATATGGGATGCCAGCACCGCAGGCAGCGGCTTTACCCACTATGCCACAGCACCAGCCCCTCTTCCTCCCTCCCTCCCTCCATCACTCCCTCCCTCCCTTTCTTTCTTTCTTTCTTTTTTTTTTTTTTTTTTTAAGGCAGAGTTAGAGAGAGAAGGAGAAACAGAAATCTTCCACCCACTGGTTCATTCCCCCAAATGGCAGCAACGACTAGGGCTGGGCTAGGCTGAAGCCAGGAGTCAGAATCTTCTTGCAGGTCTCCCATGCAGGGGCCCAAGCACTTGGGCCATCCTCCGCTGGCTTCCCAGGCACGCTAGCGGGGAGCTGGATCGGAAGTGGAGCAGCCAGATCTTGAACTGGCGCACCACCGCAGGTGGTGGCTCTTTTTGCCTGCTACACTACCACACCAGACCCACCCGTGCAGTTCTGTGAGGCTGCATTGTGTGTGGCATCAGGGATCCCTGCATGCATAGAGTCATTGCAGCACCTCCAGCAGCCCATCTTGTGTTGCGTGTGGAAAGTCGTATGGTCCCGGCCGGCACCGCGACTCAACAGGCTAATCTTCCGCCTGTGGCGCTGGCACCCTGGGTTCTAGTCCCGGTCAGGGCGCCGGATTCTGTCCCAGTTGCTCCTCTTCCAGGCCAGCTCTCTGCTGTGGCCAGGGAGTACAGTGGAGGATGGCCCAAGTCCTTGGGCCCTGCACCCCATGGGAGACCAGGAGAAGCACCTGGCTCCTGGCTTCGGATCAGCACGGTGCACCAGCAGCGGCGCGCTGGCTGCGGTGGCCATTGGAGGGTGAACCAATGGCAAAAGGAAGACCTTTCTCTCTGTCTCTCTCTCTCTCTCACTGTCCACTCTGCCTGTCAAAAGACAAACAAACGAACAAAAGTGTGGTCCCTACGAGCTGGGCCTGGCTTGCACTGCTGTACTTTCCATCTCCGTAGCCGTGGGACTTGGTGGTGTCACCCAGGGAATCGCACCAGATGTGAGTTTCTTTTTTTTTTTTTTTTGGACAGACAGAGTGGACAGTGAGAGAGAGAGACAGAGAGAAAAGTCTTCCTTTTGCCGTTGGTTCACCCTCCAATGGCCGCCGCAGCCGGTGCGCTGTGCACCGCGCTGATCCGAAGGCAGAAGCCAGGTGCGTCTCCTGGTCTCCCATGGGGTGCAGGTACCAAGCACTTGGGCCATCCTCCACTGCACTCCCTGGCCACAGCAGAGAGCTGGCCTGGAAGAGGAGCAACTGGGACAGAATCCGGCGCCCCGACCGGGACTAGAATCCAGTGTGCCGGCGCCGCAAGGCGGAGGATGAGCCTAGTGAGCCGCGGCGCCGGCCCAGATTTGAGTTTCTGACGTGGGCTCCTTTGCTGGGCGTGCTCCCCTTCAGACCCAGGTTGATGTCCAGGAGGCATCCACAATTGGGTGTTCTGCGGTTTGGTTGTCCACCCACCCCCAGGACATTTGCATTGTTTCCAGTCTTTGGCTGTTACAAGTAAAACAGCCATGGCAGGTTTTGGTATTTGGGTGTATTTTGTCATGCATCCCCAACAGTAACCCCAGGAAGAGGGTAGCGTCACCACCTCCGCTTTGCCAGGGAGATGGTTGCAGCTGAGAAGTCACATCCCAGGCCAAGAAGCTGTGCTGGAAGCCAGCGCCTGACCCCAGCCCCTGTGTGTGTGGAGCTGCTTCTCCAAGGCTGTGGCACCCTTGCTCCCAGCACCCCTCCTCATGTCCTCCTCCTCCTCTTACTGGCTTCTCAGCACCCATCTCGTAGCCCGCTCGGATCTCCTTTCGCTGAAACGGGCTCTGCTTGCTTCTGGTCCCAAGCCCCCCTCTTCTCTTGTCTTACCTGATGCACCCACAGTGTGGGCGTATGGAAGAAGACAGAAGTGCTGACTTTGGCTCCTTTTTTTGCACTATAGTTGAATTTCTTGTTTTCATAAGCATATGGCTTTAAGAAATAATTAGAAGTGTATGAGTGCTGAAACTTCTGACTGAATACGACGGGGGCCTACAGTACAGGCTTGGGGCAAGGCTTACATTTCACTCTGTTTTTGTTCCTTGAAAAGTTTTATACCACATCCATGCAAAACTGACTTTAAAATTTAATCACTCCTACTTCGACCTGTGGCGTCTTGGTGCTAAGGGCCTTATCCCTCCTGAATAGCGAGGTCCTGTTGGGGTACGCTTTGGACTGTGGCCTGTGGGAAGTGGGGGTAGCTCTGTGCCCTGCTGAGGCTGGGCCTGCTGTCAGCAAGTGGAAGGCAAGCCTAGGGTTCCTCTAACCAGCCAGGATCTGTGCTGAAGCTTGGGGTACCTCTTGGTTCCCCCATAAGAAGGTAGAGATGGGAGGAGGATGTCCCCAGGCCTGTGAGAACTACACGGTTAAGGTCAGGCAGTGATTCAGCAGACATGAGAGGAAGGAGAGGCGGCATGAGAGAGAGCAGAGACAACAGGCAGGTGCAGACTCACTCAGGGACCACACACAGGACTGGTTCAGACACAAGCTGTGTGTAAAGAAACAAAAGAATTGCAGATGAAAACGCGTCACCAAGAGTGACCAAGCAGATCTGTGAAGGAGTCAGCAGGAGCACAGTTACTGAGGGGCAGTGCTGATGAGTCAGCAGCAGATTCCATAGAGCAGAACAACGGATTTGTCAGGCGGAAGCCGGAAGCCGGAAGCCGTATTTAAAGAATTCCCGGGGCCAGCATTGTGGTGTTAAGCCTCCCCTGCACTGCTGGAATTCCATAGGGGCGCCAGTTTGAATCCTGGCTGCTCCACTTCCGATCCAGCTCCCTGCTGATGCGCCTGGATAAGCAGCACAAGATGGCCCAAGTCCCTGGGTCCCCGCATCCACGTGGGAGACCCAGCAGATCCTGGCTCCTGGCTTCACAGGTGCCCAGCTCCAGCCGTTGCAGCAGTTTGGGGAGTGAACCAGTAGATGGAAGTTTCTGTGTCTCTCTTTTTCCCTCCCTCTCTCTGTAACTCAGCCTTTCAAATAAATAAAAGATATCTTTTAAAAAAAAAAAAAGATTCCTGGAATGTAGCTCAGAGAAGAGGACATGGAAAATACAGGAGCAGGGCCAAGAAACGTGGAAGATAAGGTCGAGCCATCTGAAAAAGGCCGGGCGGCCCCAGGCTCAGGACCTCAGAGGCATCCGTGCGGTGAGCTGCTGCTGTGACTGTCAGGACAGCAGGGTGTTCGGGCACTGGCACAGAGGCCTGGGGAAGCAGGCAGTGTTTAGAGTTTTCAGATCGGCAGCTTCTCTGGAGGACACGCTCTTGTCTTTGATCCCTTTACGTCTCTCCTCTCAGGCCATCCTGTTGTTTTGTGGTTTTTTTTTTTTTTTTTTTGGTTTTTGGTTTTTGGTTTTAATTTGAAAAGTGGAGCCAGCAGAGAGGGAGAGAAGAGTAGAGAGAAGGGAGAGCAAGTTCGCCCATCTGCTGATTCGCTCCCAAATGGCTTCCACAGCCTGATCTGGACCATGAACGCCATCTGGTCTCCCACGTGAGTGAAGGGCCCGAATAGTTGGGTCATCATCTGCTGCCTTCCCAGTCACATTTGCAGGGAGCTGGGTCAGAATTAGAGTAGTGTGGATGCAAAGCAGCAGTCCCACAAGGGATGCCAGTGTCCCAGGCAGCAAGTTAATCTGCTGTGCCAAAATGCCAGCTGCTCTTTTTTTTTCCCCCAACAGGCAGAGTTAGACAGTGAGAGAGAGACAGAAAGGTCTTCCTTCCATTGATTCAGTCCCCTAATGGCCGCCACGACTGGCGCTGTGCTGATCCGAAGCCAGGAGCTGGGTGCTTCCTCCTGGTCTCCCGTGCAGGTGC